TTACATATAAAGATAAATTTTTAATAACTTTCTCAAAATAACATGACCTAAATAAATAAATAAAGATAAATTTTTAATAATTTCGTCAAAATAACATGACCTTCTCAAGTTAATTGACCTCCTCCTCTCCTCATCGAATCTCCTCCGACCCCTAAAAGAATCGCCGATTCAAGAACCTCCTCTCCTCATCGAACCTCCTCTGACCCCCAAAAAATTTGCCGATTCAAGAACCTCCTCCTAGAACGCAGATTCGAGGAGGAGGTTCTAGAATCGGCGAATCTATACTACTCACGCGAATTCATTACCCAAAAATTATAAAAAAACTTGCTTTCAAAACGCGCGATAACAAAATTTCAAAAACTACTCCGTTCCCCTATAATTGAAAAGAAGAAATAATAAAAATGTAAATAAAAATGAAAATATAATAAGGAAAAGGTTTAGGAATTGTGGGATAAGGATTTCGTGTTTCCAAACTCGTTTGCTGAAAGCAAAAAAAGCAAAGCAAAACGATTAATAAAGTATTAAAAAAACAAAAAAAAATGTATATAATTTTTGACTTCCTAACAAATACACATATCACAACAAAAAGGAAAACTGGACGTTACAATTTTTTTAAAAATATATTTATCTTCTTTTTGCTACATTTTTTATGAGAATTTGAATCATTTCGCAACATTACTCTTGACGTTGGAATTTCGTGAAAGATAAAAACACCTAAAAAATATTAATTAATTTAGACGTTGAATAAAAATAAAAAACAACGTACTTGTTCTAAACTCGATTGACCTAAAGTGTAGTCCGAAATATTCAATGATTCCTTTGCTTTCTCCATTTTTCCAAACATTTCCGACCACTTTAAACCTTTCGTATCAGGGATGTAATAAGTCATTAACTCTTGATGACTTTCACTTAAAACGGCCGAAGGAAAATTGCTCTTTACAAACTCCCCCACCCGCCGCATTTCTGTCTCTTTGAGCTCAACTGTCGCATCGGTCTTTTGAACCTTTATAATTAAAGTGTAACCTTGCGAAAATTTATTCTTTAAATGTTGACTGGTACCAAGACATTTAAACGATCCGTTTACCATAATGGCCAATCTTGTGCATAAAGCTTCACACTCTTCCATGCTATGTGTGGTTAATATTAAGCAATTTCCACCATCTCGGGTACGACATAGTGCGTTCCAGACGTTGCGTCTTGTTGCAGGATCCATACCAGTGGTTGGTTCGTCCAAAAATACAATCGGAGGATTTCCTATCAAAGCAATGGCCGCGCTTAATTTTCTTTTATTACCACCGCTATATTCTCGGATTTGCTTATTGAGGTGTTTATAAAAATCGTAGTCTTTAGCTAAGTTTTCTATAACATTTTTGCTGTCTTTAAAGGTGATTCCTCTCAATAAACAGTATATAATAAGAGTTTGCTTGCCCGTGAAATTTTCTAATAAAGCATCAAATTGGGGACAGTACCCAATATGTTTCTGAACCTTTTTCATATTGATTTTAACGTTTTCCCCATAAATCCAAGCATCTCCGTGAGTTATTGGAATATCACCGGTCATCATTTTAAACGTAGTTGTTTTACCAGCACCGTTAACTCCGAGTAACCCAAAACATTCACCTCCTTTAATACCCAAACACAGCTGGTTAACAACAAAAATCCGTCCGTAGCATTTTGAAACATCTTTTAAAACAACGCTGTAATCCTGCTTATCAATCTCCCCATTTCTTACTTTTCTCCTTTCTTCTAAAACATCAGCGTCCTCTGCCTCATCAGACTGAAGAATTCGTGTCCAACTTTTATTCACCTTACTTGATAATTTTTGAAATAATTTATATTCAATTAACATCAATATAAAAATTAGAACAATTGCTGTTATTGATAAGTAAGTAAGGTGCCTTCCAATTCCTTTTTTATCCCATCCCAAATAGTGTTCGTCATTATCTATTTTTAAATAATTAATATATGTATATGAAGTACAAGAAGAAAAACAAACCACAACACATATTCGGAGCAATACTACAACTCAAACCTTTCTTCATCTCATCCCATCGAGTACAAACTGCATTAATGGAATATTTGCTATGCATATCATTAATACCACTTATAATACCGTAAGTAGGTAGAAAAAGTAAAATCCAATGCAAATTTTGAACTTTCTCCTCATAATGCATCATCACCATCTGCATAATCAATGCTGCGAGATAACCTATATTCCGGATAATATATTAAAAATTCAAAATCTTTCTCATTTTTTTACCCGTCAATAAGTAAAGGAAAACTGCATAACTATATCCCACTGAAGAAGTGTTAAATAGTAACGACAACAAATAAGTTAGCGGTAGCACCGCCAAACCAAAACATATTAAAAGTAAAAACAGTCTCCCTAAAATTAAAACGTTAACCCTAGGATGCATAAACCGGCGAAGTTTTAGTTACTCATAATTTTCTTAAAATAATTTCAATCGGCTTGAGCATTTAGATATGCTCTAAACACGTCTTTATTCAATACACACTTGATTCAAAAACATTCAAGTGTAATAAGCAATCGAAAAAGAAAATCGTTTCCATTAGCACCCCGCATTTGCATAAACCGGGCCTCCGAAGCCCGTGTACTACTAGTTACTATAGAACAAGTTTCAACTTGGTTATTATATTGGTTACAACTTCAAGGTTGAGGGTTATTATAATTTAGCGCAGCAGTGTCTTCGCGGAATTGTGCGTGTCTGTGCAAGTTAAAACGTGTATTACTGTTGGATGTATAAAAGTAGGTGCAGGTGTTTTTCATTCAGTTGGAATAGAAGTTGGATTGAGTGAACTTGTGAGATACATATGATAATGGCGTCAAAAAGGAATGTGAAAAGCGTGAGATTTGGTGACCCCGGTTATGAAGAAATATTGGTGCAGTATTATTGGCAGCTGAATGTGATGATCTGCCTTCCGAAGAAGATAATGTGTCAGAAACAGAAAATGATGACACAGAAGATAGAAATTTCGAATTGGTTCCTGACGAATATTCTAGATCCAGTTCTGATCATAGTGACGATAATTCAGAGGATGATGTTGATGATATTGGTAAGCCTTCAACGAGCGGTTACATTGCTCCAAGTGGTCTGGTATGGAGTTTAGAACCTCCAGCAAGAAATAAAATGTAACCACACAACATTATTCGGCGTGCGCCAGGACTAGCAAGGAAACATATGGCTGCAACATCAAAAGAAGCGTTTCAGTTATTTGTGTCTCCAGTTATTGTACAAGAATTCACAATTTCTTGTACAATAACTGTACTAATTTAGAGCGCAAACGTATTTATGGATCAAAAGGAAAACCGTGGAAAGATGTAACTGTTGATGAATTTCTTGCATTCTGTGGTTTACTTATTCATGCGGGAGTTGACAGAAGCTGGGATGTTCCTGCGAGAGAATTATTTTGTGATGAATTTGCCAATCCTGTTCGTCAGATTTGACGACAAGAGAACCCGGAATGCGCGTTTGGAAACCGATAAGTTAACAATAGTGTCCTACATTTGGGATTTATTCATTCAGCAATGCAAAACCTGCGTCATACCTGATACTAATGTAACTATTGATGAACAACTCGTTGGATTTAGAGGTAGATGCACATTCGTTCAATATATGCCAAGTAAACCGGCAAAATATGGACTTAAAATATTTTGGATGTGTGAATCTACGTCTGGTTGTTACAAGTTTAACTTGTAATTGAGTATAGAGTTATAGTTTTTGGTTTTCTTCAAATTTTGGTTAGAATTCGTCACGTCATCTGTTGTTCGTTGTTGAGTATTCTTTTGATAAAGATCTCTACCCTATCTTTACCACCACTAATGGTTCGGTTAGTACGCGTGCGTCGATACATTTATGTTAGGCGTAATTTCAATTTCCGCTCTCTTCTGTCGTTACACCTGTTGCTGTATAGACGTGTTTTGATCTAACCCTATTGACACCTTAGTTTGGCCACATTGTGAGTTGAGCGAAAATTTTGTATAACTTCAGCTCGTGGTTCGTTTATTTCCGGATATATTAAGGCCGATTACTTATTCGATCGTTGATCGAACCGATATTTTCGGATTTGAGAGTTAACTTCACGCTTCGTCCATAACAACTTTTAGTAAGGTTTTTTTGTTTATTTAGCACACGAGTCTAATGTTCGTATATTTTATTCTCTAGACTTCTTGTGACAGAAGAAGGGGTTACCGCGAGATTTCGTAAGGACTTTTTTTCCCTTTGGATATCATTTCTTAATTAGTCCCTTCGTTGGATTTTCTGGTTGACCTTGAATGTCCTGTATCAAAGGTCGCCTTGCGTCGTAGTTCGAAGAACAATCTGGTACAGTCAGCTGATGTCGCTACCCTAACCTAACCTTTTAATTGGTTTTCTACAACGGACTACCTTTCATCGTGAGATAAGTGTTCCTTTTAAGTGGTTCTATTTCGATAATTTTCTTTTTTTATAAATATCAATTATTAATATCATTTTTTTATATAAGTATCAACTATTAATATCAATTTTTTTTATATGAATATCAGTTATCAATATTATTATTAATATACACCATCTGAATTATTGAAATAACTAATGATAATGAGTTTGTGTTAAATATTCAAATTAAATATCAGAGAGAGATAATCGTAACTAAGTCTGTTAATTTTTGAAGTTATTTAATTTTATTTGTGATCTTGACTCGCAAGATTTTGGTTGTTTTTGTGGACCAATAGAGTCCCTGATTGAAGTCAAAGATAGCTATCTATGTCTTACGTTCACTATTAAATATCATTCATTTTAAACTTTGAAATTTATTAATATCATTATCTTTATTTTTTTTGCGAGAATAGAAGTAAGACACTCTTTACCCATGTTCATAACCCTCACGTTACTTGAAGTTAAGTTTTAATCAACGTTCGATTTAATTTTTCTCTCTCTATTTGAGATATTGTGTCTCAAAAGGAGTTACATAAATTTTATTATAATTTTGAATGCATTTTTTTTTTCTTTGAACTGGTTTATTATATTGAATTATCACCATATTCTTTTTTTGTATTATTGCAGTAGTTCTCCACATGGTTCTCCCCATTTTCTCCCCATTTCAATTGCTCGTTGCTCATATTACCTGTTTAAATATTTTATATTTCCAAGTTCAACATATTAGATTTACTATTTTAGAAGTGAAAAGGATAGAGCTTGGAGGCGCCCTTTTACTATCTATACTTATTGTTTTCTCACTCTTTTTGGATTGTTCCCCCACGACCCAATCTATAAGACTGAGCTATCGAGTCTTAGCTTCTAATTTTGTCACACCGAAGGTTTTCGGCGCGTGACAAATATTTGGCTGTTGGTCGCCAGCCCGGAAAACCTCCACATAAAAACCTGGGGCATGAAGTAGTACAAACTCTTGTGCGTGGCATTCATAATTCTGGTCGCAATCTCACGATAGACAATTTCTTCACCGCTAGCAACTTATCTGTTGGATAAAAATATTATCCATTATCCATTAAATATTATCCATTATATAATGACTGTTGTGGGTACACTACGTCAGAATACGCGTGACATTCCGAAAGAAATGAAAGCCTCAAAAGATCGTGTAGTCTACTCTTCATTGTTTTGTTTTCAAAATAATGTATCCATGGTAAGTTACGCACGTAAAAAGAACAAATGCGTAATTTTACTAAGCACCATGCACCACGACGCATCTATCAATAACGACGCTATGAGGAAGCCTGAAATCATCTCTAATTATAATAAAACAAAGGGCGGTGTTGACATCATGGATCAAATTGTGTCGACATACACGTGCAAGAGGCAAAGTAAACGATGGTCCATGACATTTTTCTTCAACATCATTGATGTTGCAGCACTCAATGCATATATAGTCTTTACGAAGGAACATCCAACTACAACATAGGAGTGAAGCACAAACGCAGAATGTTTTTGAAAGATTTAGCGAAGGAACTAGTGATACCACATATGCAGAGAAGATCTACTAACCCTAACCTACGGCGTACTGAATTAAGAGAAAAAGATGCTCAGTATGTCCCGCAAGTATTGATCCTAAAAGCACAATGATATGTATTACTTGTAAAAATAATATCTGTAATGAGCATAGTATTAGAATGTGCACTAAATGCTTCTCTAATCCCTAAAAACAATAAACAATAATGTTTTTTAACAATAATGTTCACTTTCATATTTAACCTCACGTTTGTAACGTACATATGTATAATTAAATAAAGTTTTACTTCAATAACATTGTTTCTGTTCTGACCACACGTGATTTTATATAACGGGTCTCAGAAGCCCGGATTATGTAAATGACGATATTTTATTGGTTAAGTATCCTAGGGTTAAAAATGTTACAAAATCATTTTTTATATCACATACCTAATTCTTTAAATGTAGCATACCCGGGTTCTTGTAAATATGCCAACACTCCAATCAAACAGATACAAGCAAACAAAAACGTTAAAAGGTCCCAGACGTACGCTGTTGCCCAATATATGATTATACTTGTACCACAAACAAATTGGAGATGTTTAAATTTTGAAACACGTTCTCTTATGTAGAAAAATATGTAAAATGGTATTGATAAAGCCAAACTGAAGCCAAGAATATAAGCCAACTGGGAGCCGATTGAATTTACACTACGCAACCGTTCACTCTAGAAAGATAACGAAAAATAACTAAAAGTAAGGAAAAAAAAGTTGAAATCTTTTTCACAAATAGGTACTACAAGAAAAATTATGATAAAATGATAAAAGTTAACTAGACTTTAGTCCTTTTCTGACCAAGATGCAGTAAATGATCTTGGTCAGAAACGAATTCCGGAGGGGTTACCGAAGTTGGAGTACTGCTTATAATCGACATTTTTCAGCTAGATGGGTCATATTTGTCACTAATAACCGGCAATAAGATATTGGAAGAAGCGTTGAAGAAACCAAAGAAGAGGCTGGTAAAACGGAACAAAAAGACAAAATAACACACGGAAGTTTCTATTTTTAATTTTATTTCTATTACGACCGGCCATGGAAGCCTACGGACGATATCATGAGCGAACTTAACGCTATCGGAATATAGCTAAAAACAAACTAACGAAATAAGTTAAGTATTACGTTGGCCAAACTGGACGTAACATCACTAATAATTTTATATTTCTAGGACAGTATAAAAATGTCATAAATACGACATTGTTAATAACAGTGCTCAATAATATTTGGATTATCTTTGCGTTAATAAATATGATGACAGAGAAGTCCGAATAGTGACATAACTCAGTTTTCGTAAAAATATTACTTGGATCACTTCTGTTCTTATCTAGCCAATTGGAGCTCAAAAGAAAACCAACATTCCTTCACGCTATAATTGGGGTTCAAAAGAAAACGACATTCCTTCACGCTATAATTGAGGTTCAAAAGAAAACCGATTTTCCTTCACACTGTAATTGGGGTTTTAAAAGAAAACTACATCTCCTAAGATTCCTTCACGCTATAATTGGGGTTTCAAAAGAACACTGACCTATCTTAACATTTCTTCACGCTATAATTGGGGTTCCAAAGAAAACGACATTCCTTCACGCTATAATTGTTTGTATTAAAAAAAATAAAGTTATTAATAAAATATAGAAAATAAAACATGAGAAAAATATTCTACCTATGCCACTACATAACGGCAGTCCTGGATCGAAAACGAAAATTCTCTGGTTCAAGCAGATATTTGCATGTTCACAGATGGAAAAACGCCGGAAGAGGTTGGGGCAGGAGTATACTACCAGACACCTCGAATTAAGCAAGCTTACAGTCTAGGTAAGTACTGTACAGGGTCTGTCACGACGAGGTACAAAACTGAAACTTACAGTTGTTGTGATATCGGACAGGTTTTGTTGAATCAGTGAACCCAATCTGTAATATAATAATAGTATTAAAAAACTAAAAAAATATGGAATAATCTGACCATCCTAATTTTGTAAAAATCACAAGTTTCACCTTTCTCTTTAAACTTATAATTTTAAACTAAAGCAATCTGTGCAAACATTCTCAACACGATTTCTAAATGGTGTGTACGGGCAAATGCTAAACTATGAAATATACTGTCGAATCCGCAAGTATTTTGAACAATATATTTTTTATTGTAATAGATATTAATGAAACTTACTTATGAACTTATGAAAGAATTACTAACTGAAACTTCCAAAAATTTTTATTTTTAAAAAGTAAAGTGTTCTTTATAGAGTTGTTCTAGTGAAAATATTAGCTGTTCCAGATTGCTTAGGTATAATAAGTACCTAGAACAACAAGAACAATTTAGAGCAACAAAAAATATGTGATTTTGCAAAATTAATGTCCGTGTTAAACGTAAAACACATCTACAACAATTTGAATGGAAAAGTTTGAGTTATTTTAGATTGTTCTATGTTTTTTAATTCTTATTGTGTAATATAAAACCGCTGACACAAGAATTACTGACTGAAACTTCCAAAAACTTTAATTTTCAAAGAGTAAAGTGTAGACAGTTGTTCTTTCCCTGTTGTTCCCTTTAGACAGTTGTTCTAGTAAAAATAATAGCTGTTCCAGATTGCATTAGCTATAATAAGTATATATTTGTAATATGGAATTGATAATAGAACAACTATGGTCACAGCAATCAACTAGACATTTCGGCGGCCAAACCTATTTTTAGTTATAACTTCGTAATGCTGTATCCCATAATTTTGATTTTCTAGAACAATAACTAGAACAACTAGAATAACCCAGAACAACAAAGAAAATTTGATTTTTCCAAAAATGGGGGGCTAGCTAAAAAACCCGTTTTTTCGGTTTTCTCGCGGAGTTCTTATTTTTTCGATTTGCCGCTTTGGAACAATGTAGAACAACTCTAGAACAATCTAGAACAACAATAAAAAATTTAAAAATCAAAAAATGGGGGGCTAACTTCCCGCACTCGAAAAGAGTTGGGTTTCGAGATAGGGAAATTCGCAAATTTGCAAATTCGAAATTGCAAATTTCTGACCACCTGTATAACTTTTAAAACAAATTTTTAAAGATTATGTAAGCTATGGGTCATTTCTGTGCAAGCCCTGAGAATGTTTGGCCTGACTCGAATATAATTTCGAAAAATTATTTTTATTGTCAAGGGTTTACCACTAAAAAATGGTGCACTCTACACATATGGTAACTTATAAGTACGAAGGCTTTCACGGCCGATGTTAATTAAACTAAAACTAGAAAAGTTCAAGTTCGAAGTGTTTCTGAAAAAGGTTGCAACATGGCATCCGGAACGTCAAACATTTTTTCAAAAAACCAGTGATAATGCTAGTGTTAATACTAGTTTTAGTTTAATATGGTAACTTGTATCAAATTACATACAGGGTGCCCATTATGTATGGAATATGGTATATATCTCGGTAAATGTTGGCTTTATAAAAAAACATTTTATACAAAAGTTGTTTAATATTTTATTTACCATAATAAGACTGCATTCAATTGTTTTTAGTTCAAAAAACAAATGAGTAACGAATAACACTTAAATTTTTTTAAATGGCAATGTACCCTTTCTTTAGGCTCATTTGATAGAGATTACTTTTCTCTTTACGATGACGGAAAATTTTTGTAGCCTTATATCAGAAAATTTTTGAAATAAATGTAAAAATTTTTTATTAATAAAAATTAATCAATGACATTAATCTAGATATCCGAGATCATCAAATACCTCGAATTATTACCGTAAATTAAATTTACATACAAAATGAAACAAATAAACGAAAAATTAGTGTACATTTCCAATAATTCGAGGTACTACGAGGTATTTGACGATCTCGGATATCTAGATTAATGTTATTAGTTAAAATTTCTTAATAAACAATTTTTACATTTTTTTCAAAAATTTTCTGATATAAGGGTACTAAAATTTTACGTATATAATAAATAAAATATTAAACAATTTTTAACAACAAAATATATGTTTCTCGATAAATGTACTCGGGGTCCTTTTTTTTTAGTATATTAAATATAATTTCTCTAAAAAAATTGTTTTTAATACCTTTTTTGCATACCTTTTTAATATATACGTATTTAATTGCGGCTCGCAGAAAAATTTCGAAATTTTGAAAAATGGCTCGGACTATCAAGGAGTTGGCCACCCCTGATATATACGATATTCCATGCATAAGGGGCACCTGTATATTAAAATTAACGAAGTTGGGGTCTATTTCCGGTATAACCGGAAGTTGCAGAAAACTAAAAATATTTTAGCTGAAACGAGCACCTCGGATAAAGCCTTACATAATATAAAGTTTGCTATATACATATAGATTCAGCTTGTAGTGACAGACCCTGTTCTGTATTTCTGTATTTCAGGTGGAAGTATTGATACGGGTGCTAAAATCCTAAAAGATTTTTCTCAGACAGTCACGCCGCTCTCCAGGCGCTGCACAGCGTGAAAACGGTGTCGGCTCTGGTTAATGACTCCTGGGTCCCAGGTCCCTCTGGGGTTGCTGGCAGTCAAGCGGCATTTGAGCTAGCACGAGAGGGCAGCGCTAAAGCGTTTGTGAGGCCAGAACCAGCAGTTGGTCTATCCTTTGCGATGGCCAAACAGGATTGAACTGTGGGCTGAAGAGAGACTTCGCCTACTGTGGACTAGTTCTCCTAGAATGAGACATGCTAAGGTGCTTATTAACATCGCCACTGTCAAACCCGCGAAAATTTTATGACTTGTTCGCAGCAGCAATAAAGTTTTAATGAGTGACTTTACTGGGCACTGCCGATTAAAAACACACCTCAACTTGATGAGTCTAGCCGACGATGTTGAATGCCGACTATGTGTGGAGGACGAGGAGACGGTTGAGCATGTTTTATGGCACTACCCTGCTGTTAATCGTATCAGATTCTCGATTTTTGAGTCGCAGTTTATTTCCCCAAAGGATCTCAATGACGTTTCACCGAGCAAGGTATTAATGTTCGTTAAGAGCATTGGAATTTGATAACGTTATATATCGGGGTACAATAGATCCTTAGGGTCGCGGTGCAAGGTTGGTTGGTCCGCCTACCCGATATGTAATTTATGAAATACCCTACATTCTTCGTAAAAAGTTGCCTCTACAATGTTTTAATTATAGCTCTATCTTTGGTAGTAATTGAGATATTCGCGTTTGTAAATGGAGATTCAAACAACGACCTAATTCTCTTGCAAATAGATGAAAAATCTCATGAAATAGAGCTACACTAGAATCATTCGAATCTAGTTTCTAGTCTTTGAACAAACAAAGGTCTTCTGCAAACAATGTCGGGTTTTTTGCACAGAGCCATAAATTATTGGTTAAATCCTTCTAATTTTCCTTGTAATATTATAATAAATTTTAAAAAAATCCAGATCAGTTTACATAGTTTAAATTACCTGAGTTAAAGGATTATATGGAATAGGATGATTACTGATCCTAATATTGTATTTATCCGAATTCATAACGTCCTGTAAAATTGAGTTCACAATGTATTGTAAAGCAAGTGGAGGTGAATGATATGGCTGATTATTAAAAAGGACTATAATTTTATCACCCTGAAAAATGGCTCCTATGATATACTGCACTCTTATGGTTGTAATTATCGTCTCCCCCTAAAATTTTAATTTAAATACCTTCTAACCAAATATTAATAGTATAACTCGCCAGTTTTAATAAGTTTGCATTGAAATTTTCTTCGCCCCAATCTAGTATGTGTCGGCCCTCTTTCTCCAAAATATTTTTATATCTTTTGTAAAAGGGGTCATTTATATCCTTAGTAGCAACAGGAGTTGTAGAATTATCATACGCATCTAATGATAAGTCTAATCTTGCTGGATGTAGATAGCTAGCCTTACTTAGCGTTGTTACAATATAAATTACGCAGGGAGCTAACAGAATAAAATATTGAAGTATAAACATAAACCAAGCTCTACATGTTGCGTAAAATTTCTTCATTATCATAGCTCTCGTTTGATTTATTTTTAATCGAAACCCAGTTACCATGTGTATATCACTTACATCCCCTAAAAATTAAAATGTTAATTAACCTTTCGACAGGCGCGTCTATTTTTACTACGCGTAGTGTACAATGTACACACATGAAAATTTCTTCTTTTGGGGAAAATTTACATCTTATTGCAGGAAAAAAAAAACAATACAGAGAATACACGACACTTTATTGTTATATGTTATGTGTTTATACTATAGAGTATAAAATAATGGACAACTAATAAATCAGTTATGAGTCAGAGCCTGAATGCACTTCGCAATTCGAGCAAATTATCATTGTTTTAAGTGTTTTTTACATATGAATTGAAATTTTTACACTCAACAAATTTTCAACCGTATCCCTCAAAAGACAAGTTAACTCTAAAGTAATACCTACTAAAGAAAAGTTTATTTATCCGGAAATTACGTCATTCTACCCCCTAAACACAATTGTGTGTACTTTGTACACAAGCGCGCCTGCCGGAAGGCTAATAATATAAAAATATTATGGTTGTATATGTAATTAAAATGCACATAATCGAAACTCATAGATATCATAATAATATACCAAACATCTTAAAGGAAATTTAATAGAAGTTAAGTATCTTAAATAATTTCTTAGTTTAAATTTGATTTCTTAACCTCAACTCTGCAATTTAAAAAAATAGAAGTTCAAAAAATCGTATTTCAAGAACAATTTGAGATATCATGTTGGCTAGACAACATTAAGTGTATCACCGAGAGGTCCCTACAAATAACATTGAGTAAAGCTGAAGACCGATTCAGGTGAAAAGAAATTTTTGAGATCGAAAAATGAAGAGACCAACTTAGCGAGGGAATGAGATAATGTAATTGAAAAGGGCTTATATTTTGTATCTGAAGAGTATGTTAATTGTTTCTTTTTTTCGTACGACACGCTTGAGTGACTTGCGGAGTGAACAATTGAATCACAAATAGCATCCACGATCTAAGCTTTGATAAAATTTTGCGCATCATAGCTTTTAACTGAAAACCAGTAGCACGGTTAGTATTTATGTTAGCTAAAAGTGATTATAAAATAAGTGGGGTTTCGTTAATATTTTTCATTAAGATAATATTAATTAAAATTTAGTTACCGGTGGTATTCGAGGTCTGTTTCATTTCATCAGTATCGTCATTAATATTTTCGGTTGTATCTTCTTGAAGTTTATGCTCGATACCAGTTCTGTAAAATATTAAATATATAATTTAATATGATCCTTTTTCTTAATTTGTGGGGTCTACTTCATAAATACTTCTTCCATCGATGTTAATGATACACCAAACGTAACAATTCCAAGTTTATCGGCTTGATTTTCGAAGTCGCGTAACATTCCTTGAAAGACTGAGGAGTATTCTTTAGGTAAAAGATACGTTAATTCTGACCCAACATCGGTTTCTACTTTAGTAGTTGGAATGTATTTTTTTAGAAGTTTGGTCACCGCGTTTACATCGCATTTTGGCTTCTTTTCCATCACCAGATAATAACCAGCACCGTATTTTTTTTTGAGAAAGAAGCTTGTTCCGCAGCATTGTAATTGACCACCTGCCATGATTGCAATTCTATCACCCAATACGTCAGCTTCGTCCATAAAATGTGTACTTAATAAAATAGTTCTTTCGCTTTTTTGTTGATGCAAGAGATCCCACACGGATCTTCTGGCAGCTGGATCCATACCAGCTGTTGGTTCATCGAACACACACACCTTTGAGTTACCACATAATGCAATTCCAACACACAGTTTTCTTTTCATTCCTCCAGATAACGTTTTTGATTTTGCATTAGTCTGTGGTAAATATATTAAAAATAATCGTAATAATAATAAAACAGATTCTTTACTTGAATTAAACTAGAACTAACACTAGCTGTGCGTCTCTCAAGACGGCTAAACCCGAATATTTCTAGTTCTAGGTGGGTGTCCCAATTTCGTTGTCCGCATAGACTATCTCCGAAACTAAAAGAGATAGAAAGAAACTACTAATGCCGAAAACTCCAAACAGCTATCGTCTATTGTTCTCGCCCTGTCGGCAAAAACTGAATATTTTACGAAAACGACAATCGCGAATGACTCATTTATTATCAAAGATGGAGTATTATCAATAAAACATTATATGGGCTTTTTACGAAAAATTCAGTGGCGTAGGTAGAATTTTTTTCCCATCTTTCATTTTCGAGATTTTAGAAGTAACTTTATTTTTTTAAATGGAAACCATAGTTGGCTATGACCTAAAATAATTTGTTATTTTCTTCTGATAACAAATATTTATAGTTTGTTGGGTATATTTCTTATAGTTATGGACTAATTAACAAAAATTCTTTTTATTCTATCTAGATCAAATGTATGTATTTAAAACTTAATGTTGCTATGGTGATAACCATACATAAAGTGAAATTCCCCTAACTCGAACTTCTATATCTCGAATGATCCTCTTAGGCCCGGTGTATTCATCTCCAAGTAAAGTGTCTGTTAGTGTTACTTGAGAGAATAAGACTTACTTGTCAAAATAATTGTATATTCACCTCCTGGTAAAGTGAATCTGTCCGTTAATGGTAGCTACCAGAGGGTTAATTTACTTGTGGCAAATTCTTATCAGTAAAGATTTATACATCAGATTAAATTAAATCTGACGTATAAACTATAGGTTGTCGTGTTGGTTTTGGTCGATTTGTTTGGTTTTTTAAAATAAAATGTAAGAAGACATTATTGACGATATTCTTATAGAAGAAGAAATCAATATTATTGAAAATATTGAACGGGAGCGTCGTCAATATAATACTCGAAATAGGTTTGAACATTCTAATAATTTCACCGCTATGGTTTATGTAGAATTTTTTAATCATTTTCGCTTCAATAATAATAACTAATAAAATAATATCTAATTATCTTCTGGAGTTCGTTGTAATCTGCATTTAGCTCAACAAATTGTAGTAGCGACAGACTATCCTTCACAATATTGCCTCACATAAAGATGAAATACCTAACCAAGATGAAGATTACGATGTTGAGAATATTGAAATTAACGAAAATGTAGAAAATAGTTCTCGTAGACCATTTCTTGAATATTTTAAAATTTATAGTTTACTATTTTACCATCTAATTTTTAATTATAAAAAAAAATGTCAAATATTTTTCTTCCTTGTCTCTGAATGATAGGTTAGGGTTAGAAAAATGTAAACATTTTTGAAAATATAAGTTTTTTTTTAAGTATATGTTGTTATCTGTCCTTGTCGTACGCACGCATTGACCATATACGTTTATTTCACTCGGGAGACGTTATATTGTACTATTTGTTTTGAAAACGTTGATTTTCAAAAGCAACTACTTGGAAGAATAAATATTGTGAATACCGGGTGCCCCATCGGTTGTGGTATCGGCTTTTTTGACGTCTAAACTTCCAGAAAGAAACTCCAAATTCGATATGTTTTAAACCATCCGATTCGAGGTAGAGAAACACATTTAAACACATTTGAAGCCTAGTCAAACGCTTGAGCTTACGAAAATTATTCAACTTAGGCTCGGTATATTCATCTGCCAGTAAACTATTAAGTAACTACTTGTCGGTTATATTTACTGGTAAGATTAATTCAAAGTCGGGTATACAGGGTGTCCCATCGGTTGTGGTATTGGCTTTTTTGACGTCTAAATTTGAAGATAGGAACTCCAAATTCGATATGTATTAAGCTACCCTACTTGGCCAGGTGGTGATCATGTCAAATAAATTTTTTATTGCACGGTTTGCGAATAATTTGCAAAAATGTTAAAAATGACGACATTTATGGTTTTATTTTTTAACGATTCTTATGTCATATGATGTGGGAGTCATAGTAAAGTAAATTCATGATTCAAATGGCAGTTAAATTTATGGTACCGTAAACGGAGTCTTATTGCCGGTTGGGTAATAAAGCAATCGTCCAGCTTAATTTTGAGCCGGTTATTAATTTTAAACTTATTTTATAACGAATATAGGTTTTTAACTTAATATTAAGGTATCTAAATCAATTTAATAAAATCTTATTAAAAAATTATAAAATGTGTTTGTCAGTTCAACATAAAAATTTTTCAGAAATTCTTAGAAACAGATTAAAGAGGTTGGAATAACATTATATAATTTTTATGCCAAGACATTGTTTGTAAATTGTAACAAATGCGTGAAGAAAATAATTAAGACAAAAATGACGTTTCGGGGAATTATTATTTTCTTTCCCTACCTGCAAAGGTGTAATTTTGCCATTCTTTTATTTCGTTGGTTCAGTTTACGTGTGATTTTATTAGAGTTGATATTGAAGTTGTGCAAACCACTCAGTGTGCAAAATACGTTTCCGAATAACGAAAAAATTGACATGATTTTAATTTACGGCGAGGCAAGGCTCAACGCTTGCTTAGCATCACAGATTTATTCGGAAAGATTTCCGGATAGTCACACCTAATCCAAGAACATTTCAAAGGCTTGTGGATGGTGTTAGGGAAACTGGCTCCCTTAAAAAAAGCGTGCTAATCCTCTAACTAATCCTCGTGGAAAACGATCCATAGGTAAGTGTTCGAGAGATAAGTCGTCAATATGGAGTTACGAGGACGTCGGTTCAAAGAGTGTTGACATCTATTCATAGATCACCCATATCATATCGACCTGCAGTAAGAGTTACACGGCGATGACTCCTTTCATCCAGAAAGTTTCTGTGTATGGGCTTTAGAACAAATGCATATAAATGAGAACTTCTTTCAAAATATATTGTTTACCGATGAAGCAAGTTTTAAATCATGCGAAAATGTCAAAAAGCGGAACGTGCACTATTGGGCGCCAACCAATCCACATTGGATACGACAAGAAAAAAATCAAAATCGTTGGGCACTGAACGTGTGGGGAGACATTATAAATAACCATTTAATTGGGCCTCATTTTTTTGAAGGAATTTGTCAGGAGAAATGTACGCTAACTTTATCCAAAATGAATTAGACAATTGCTTAGAAGACATTCCGTTAATAAACATTGTGGGTAATGATTTGTGGATGCAGCAGGATGGTGCTCCAACCCATTACTCCAGAAATGCGACAAATTCTGCCCACCAAATTCTTCCCATTTCCCGAAAGATGTCCTATCCATCTTCTAATGTTTTCAACAAAGAGATTATATTAAAATTTTATCGACAGCACCAAGTAGATAATGTCCAAAATTCATTTAGATACCGATCACTACACACCTGGTCTATTGGTTTAGTACCCAACCGGCAATAAACGAGCGGCTCCTAGTAAGGGTAGTAGCCTCGGTCGATAAATGTGCCATAAATTTAACTGTCATTTCATTTTTTTAAATTTTTGTTCTAAATAATGAATAAATCGCATTTTATCGTCCACATCATATGATATAAGAATCGTTAAAAAATAAAAACACATATTTTGTCATTTTTAACATTTTTGCAAATTATTCGCAAACCGTGCAATAAAAAATTTATTTGACATGATCACCACCTGGTCAAGTAGGGTAGCTTAATACATATCGAATTTGGAGTTCCTATCTCCAAATTTAGACGTCAAAAAAGCCAATACCACAACCGATGGGACGCTCTGTATACCCGACTTTGAATTAATCTTACCAGTAAATATAACCGACAAGTAGTTACTTAATAGTTTACTGGCAGATGAATATACCGAGCCTAAGTTGAATAATTTTCGTAAGCTCAAGCGTTTGACTAGGCTTCAAATGTGTTTAAATGTGTTTCTCTACCTCGAATTTTCCATAACTCGAAGTTTTCTTCCACTCCCTTAGTGATTCGAGTTAGGGGAATTTCACTGTATTATGATGGAAAATAATGCATCTAATAATTGCCAAAGTTTGTATTTAAAAATTCGCTAACAACTCTGGCATTATGTGCTGGTGCTCCGTCATGTTGAGTATCTAAGTATAACAAAACTGAATCAAACTTTACAATACATTTCGAATATTATGAAAAATGTAACATGATGGAATGCTACATGTTATCAGATAAGAATGCGACGTTAGCCGCGATATTATATTTCACAAGGAAAGAAGACAACCGCACGGAAGAACCTTCAGCCAGTTAGCAGAAAATTTAACGAATTTTTGATCCTTCACAAAACCAGGTGCAAAAACATACCAAAATGACCTGCAGGGGTATGAAGTCAATGTTTCAATCAACATGTTGCAGAGAAATTGAACAAGAGGTCTGACCCAAAAGCCGCTTCTCCTGAATATTAAAGAAAAATAAGTATAAAGCATACAAAGCGCGGGTAACTCTTCATTTACGTGCCGGAGATGCCAATCTAAGATTGGAATTTTGTCGATGATATTTAGAAAAATTAAATAATCTGCTATTTGTTCAAAATGTCATCTGGACCGATGAAGTTCACGTTAGTAGTGCAGGATTTTGTTTTAAACAATTAACCTATTTTTCTGAATGTTCTCAAGGAAAATTAAGGTTCAGTGTATGGTGTGCCCTTTTAAATAATAGAATTTTGGCATATAGTACCTACCATGAAATCTTAAACTCAGGTAGATACCTCAATATATTAAGGCAGCACATTGAGCCTTATGTTATAATTTGCCATTAAATATGTCTCAAATGATATATTTTCAACATGACGGAGCATCAGTACATAATGTCAGAGTTGTTAGTGAATTTTTAAATCCAATCTTTGGCAATAATTGGAAACATCATGGTATGGTTATTCAATAACTATAAGAAATATACCCAACAAACTATATATATTTGTTATCAAAAGAAAATAAGAAATTATTTTAGGTCATAGCCAACTATGGTTTCCATTTAAAAAAATAAAGTTACTTCTAAAATCTCGAAAATAAAAGATGGGAAAAAAATTCTCCCTACGCCACTGAATTCTTCGTAAAAAGTTGCCCATATAATGTTTTATTTATAATACTCCATCTTTGATAATAAGTGAGATATTCGCGATTGTCGTTTTCGCAAAATTTTCAGTTTTTGCCGATAGGGCGAAAACAAAAGACGATAGCTGTTCGGAGTTTTCGGCATTAGCATTTTCTCGAAAAACGAGATCATGACATGTAAGCTACTTTTTTTCTATCTCTTTTAGTTTCGGAGATAGCCTATGTGGACATCGAAATTGGGACACCCTGTACACAATGTACTTTTTGTTATAGTGATAGTGCTAGTGTTGGTTCTAGTCATAGTTCAATTAACACCGGCCGTGGAAACCTTCGTACTCATAATCATACTGTTCTTTACCTTCGCAGTTAATTCCAAAAGATTAATATACTTTTTAATTTCATTTTCGACTTCTTGCTTATTCACTATTCCTTTCGCCTTAAGGAAGAAATAAAAATGTTCTCTCACAGTTAACTCATTAAAAAAAATATTCTTTTGCGGACAATATCCCATACTTTCACGAATATTATTCATATTAGTTCTTATATCATGACCGTTTATTACCGCAGTACCAGAAGTTGGAGTTATCATCCCGGTTAACATCGACAAAGCTGTTGTTTTTCCAGCACCGTTATGACCAACTAAAATCGTAATTTGATTTTCATACATATTCAGAGATAAATCGCTGATCGCCACGTTATTATTTTTATACACCTTTCTTAAATGTTTAATTTTAACGCCGGGTTTTAAATTAATCGGTTCATTTTCGTAAGTATCCGTTCCATCTATTCTATCCGCTTGATCTTCATGATCTTTAAAATAAGAAAATTATATAATAAAATGTGGATTAAATTGAATAATTAGGTAAAAGAAAAAAGATACCTGCGTAAGTTTGACCACAGCAATAAGAAGCTGTACACGGATAATACCAACGTTGACCTACCCCATATTCTCCAGGAAAAACTGATTCGACATAGACAGCAATTAAAAAGTAGATTATTGTATCTATTATCAACATAATAATAACATGACCTAATGTTAATGAATCATTTGCACTAACTGCACAGAAAAGAGAATTCCATTGTAATCCTACAAAAAAAAGCTTATACATATTGAACTAAAACTAGAACTAACAATAGCTCTTTCACTACAACTAACACTAGTACTAGAACTAGAAACATTCGGGTTTAGCCGCGAGTCCCTTAAGACATCTAAACGCGAATATTTCTAGCTCTACGTCTAGTGTTAGCTTTAGTGATTATCACTAACACTAGTATTATACTAGTCTTAGTTCTATTTTTAGTTCAATTGGCACCGGCCTTCGTACTTTTATAATCACAATAAGTATATTTGTTTTTCTTTACCTGTTCCTAATCCTTCAAAGATTCTAAATAATAGAATACCGTAACCTAATGCGCTGCCACATCCAAGCATAGCTATAAGTTTTATAAATAAATTCGAAATATCGAAGTACATTTCAACCAAATAGTATGGTGCTAAAGTTAATAGGTAGACCGTTGAAGCAAGAGCAGTTGCAGTAGTAGCTAAAAATGATTTATTATTAAAAACTAGTATTAGATAATTTCATTTCTAACCTTTTTTAAAAAAAACACTCATTAAAAAACAGAATGCTATAAGAGAGCAAATAAAACATAAGAGCAACACAAACAGTACTGATGCATCGCTGAATGTAATGACGCTAAAACCAGAATCGCTTCTCCAAGAAACCTTCCATATTACCACCATTAAAGCAATAGAAATAATAAGTAAGATAAGCATGTTGAAGGACCATGCCATCCAATGTAACCAATTTGGTAATCCCATGATTTTCATTGCTTCCTTTACCTGTGTTTCTTTTTCAGTAGTAAGTACAGTCACCATATGACTACAAACATTCGCGAAAGCCAGAACAATAAAAATAATACAGATCCCTTTTATACTTTCGAACATTGGATCGTGGATCCACGCAGGGTGTGGATACCTTTGCATAAAAATTGTTGGAAGATTACGATCGCTGACTTTTTCTCGTTTCATGTGCGTGCTAATAATTTCCATAGAAATGTCGTGTTGTAAGCTTAAAAAACCTTCGAAGTAGTAATCTACCAAAATAACAAAGGAGAATTAACTTTTAAATATAACATCATTTTTCTTACTCGGTATTGCACCAAAGTTATTTGCAAAGTCTCTGGGCCCAGGCATTTTGTGTTGCGAAAATGTTAAATGTGTGAACCATTCGTTTGTGTTTGTAGCGTTACTTCCGTTGGTTCGTAATTCTCCTGGAAATCTATAGAAACCTAATTACTTTCTTATACCATATCATTGTACTAACTTCATTTTAAAAGCACCGTTAAAAAGTAATATCTCGATAACTAATGGAGATATCATAATGAAATAACAAACATTTTAAAGCTAATTTAACAGAGCTTTAGTGTGCTGCAAATAATTTCTTAGTTTTCATATAAAAATCGATGATTATTTAAATTAAATTATTGAAAATTATGATTTTTTAACCTCAATTCTGCATCTTTATTTATTTAAAAAAATCATATCTCAAGAACGAACTGAGCTATGATGAAATAACAAACGATTTATTGGCAATTTAATAGAGATGAAATGTGCCATAAATAATAAAAAAAGTGGGTGTCTCATCGTCAGCGGTTCTCAATATTTTCACATTTAATACAATTTTCGTATTAGTATTTATAAATTATTAATTTCATTACGTGTTATACCCCGTCGATTGAGAATCGATGGTTTCAAAGGTTTTTTTTAAATACTTATGTTTATTCACCTTATAATAATTTCCATTTTTTCCGTAATAACATCCTTTCCATTTAGCAGGTCATCAAACTGAACAGCTGCAAATACAACTGGTCTATACAGTTCTAATGTTCGTTCTAATTCACCGGAGTTATCAACGCACAATTGAGACAGTGGGGAATATTTCTTACCGATAGCAGTCATAATACTATTTAATTCGCCATTTCCACATGGTGCCCAGAAAATAGAGAAAATAGAAGCACTTCAATAAAAATAAATTGGTATTGGTTTTCGTTAAATCAAAGTAACCAATTAACTAGATATATATTGAAGTTCCTTACCTTATCTTTTCTGGTGCATTAACCGGGAGAATTATAACTGGCGAGAACTCCGTAAATTGTATGGCATCATGTTTTACTGGAATAATAAGTACTCGTAGCAATATTACGAAAGCAGCGAATAGAATGGGACTTAAGATATCGCAAAGTGTGTCCTTCGGTTCTCTCCATTGTAAGAGACTATTCTTCCAAAAAAGTAAAAGAAATTTCTGCAAATATCTACCCATTTTTTAAATACCTATATAAATGGAAATATTATTACTATAAATGAAGTTTTAATTCAGCAAAATTTATAACCCAATTTATACAGGATGTTAATAAACGACGTGTAGATATTTCAGGGGGCGGTAGTACTCGATAAAATAAGACAAAAGTGCTAATAGACATGTTGTCAAATGTTTCTCCGGTGTTTTTTTGAATAATTATCTAAAATTTATACTTCGAACCAGTTTCTGAAGAAGGTTGCAACATGGCATCCGAAACGTCAAACCTTTTCTTAAAAAACGCACGGCAAAACCCGAAAGTAGTGTTAGTTCTAGTTTTAGTTCTAATTTTAGTTCAATTATCTCAAATTTGGTTTCAAATGGGCACACCTAATGGTGTGGCTGACGAATTCGTCATTTTATTGTAGAGATTTATAAACATTAGGTGTATACCAAATTTGAAATAATTACTCAAAACATAGCAGAGAAAAACGTAAAATTAAAAAAAATTGACACTTTATCACCCTGCCTACAGCGTATTAAAACATAGTACCACCATAAACATAATCACTTTTGCTTAACTATGTACAGAGTGGTTCAAATTCGATGTCCGAATAGGCTAACTCGGAAACTATAAGAGTTAGAAAAAAAGTAGCTTACATGTCATGATCTCGTTTTTCGAGAAACTGCTAATGCCGAAAACCTCATAGCGCTATTGTCTTTTGTTTTTCCGCTAGAGGCCAAAATTGAAAATATCGTAAAACCAGCAAGTGCAATTATCTTGGTTATTATTATAGGTGGAGTATTATAACTAAGACATTATATGGACACTTTTTTACAGAGAATTTGATGACGTAGTCAAAAAAATTTTTTCGGTTTTAGATTTTGAGATATTATCACAGTTTTCGTTTTTTTTAATGGAAACAACCACTGATTATTCGCTTATTAAATTCGTTATTTTTTTCTGATTACAAAAATATAGGGTTTGACAGGTCTATTTCTTATTGTTTTAGAATAAAGCTAAAAATAAACTTATCTTTTAGTGTTGGCGAAGAAATTAAATTTACAGTTTCTTGCAAATTATGGTACTATAACTAAAACATATATAAATTAAATAGTTCAACAAATATATTTGTTTCAAATATCAGAAATATGCTTTTTAATTTTTAGTTATAGTACCGTAATTTACAGGAAACTGTAAATTTAATAAATAATAAGTCCTAGGAAAGTTTCCCGATTAAAATCTAAACCACGCTGTATGTATACCTATATCTAAACTTTAAAATAAAACAGTAATTATTTGAAATAATCACAATAATTATCTATCTTCCATTCCCCTGTATACTTAATTTTATGAGCCACCGCCTTTTTAAAGATCGGATTTACAAAAATTTTAAATATTTTAATAATAAAATTAGAAGAGAATTTAATAAAATTTTACCTACCACAATTCGATAACAATTCTTTAGCACTAAGACAAATTTAGGGAAAAAGATAGTTCACCACTCAACGGATTTAAATTTCCTTCTTCTGCCAGACAAACCAATAGTTTAGTGTTTACTCCTATATATAATAATTTCCGATTTTCAACAATGCACACTACTTACACATATATTAAATTAATATAATCGTATAACAAATTTAGTTTAGAGATCTTTTGTAATTTTTAAATTTTAAATAATTTGACAGTTCTAATAAATGTCATTAATTTTACGACTTTATATGCCTAGAAGAAACTATGTGTAGCGTTACCGTTACAGAACCCACCTGATTTTCTGACAACGCCAAAAATATGAATTTAAAATTAGGTGGGTTCTGTGACGGTAACGCTACAGATACTCCCCTGCGCAAAATATTTAACCGGCGGAAAGGAATAAATAAAAATACAACATGGAATTAATCGAGTACATATTATTCTGCAAAGGAAACTTTTAATAATTTCTGTGATGCAAAATGTTTCGATAAATTATTAATGCAGTTATTTAAAATGAACGCCGGTTTTAAACTATCAACGTTAACAATGTATTCTTGATTGTTTCTAAAAATAACATAATTTTTTGAATATTTTTTAACAATTTTAAAAGGTCCTTCACTATGTACAAATCTAACTAGAAGGGTTGAAAGCAAAATATCTATAGATATTATAAACGTACAAACGACATCAAGCAAATAAAAAAATATTAGCATAAAATATAGGTATACAATAAACAACGACAGCAAGTGATAAACAAGTGATACAGAAACAAGTAAAAATAGTAATATAAATCATTAGAAAGGAGCTTTACAATCTATACTTCTGCAAAATACCCAGTTTTAAGATAAAAATTACCATTGAATTTGTCCTTGCATTAGTAATAGTATTAAATATTACATTTTGGGAAGTTTTCTTGAAAACACAAATAAAACACAAATTTGGGAGTTACACCTATGTGACTCTAAACCCTCGACTAGTTCAAATTCATGCTAGAAACTTGATCATTACAACTTATTTTTAAAAATTCACCTGCTTACTTCACGTTCTTCACTCAGATCTTTAGCCAGTTGTCCCGATTAAAGCAAGTCGGTCGTGATACTGTTTCAGCTACAATTTTCTCGATTCAACGGTAAACATTCTCGAACAATCTTTTTGCTCGCTAAAGCTTGCAAAAAAAACTTTCGTTCTCGAATGCAAGAGTCATTTCGTTATCTTGTATCAAAAATAACTATTTTAACTAAATAATTTCTGTTTTCTTTCGCAGTATTTTATAAATCGATTATTATGCTGACAAAAATGTGACATAAAACAGGGCATATTTCTAGAATAATTTCAAACATGTACAAAATACAACTTTTTCTGGACATCAGAACAAATAGCGATCTTAAAGAGAGTTGCTATTCATCATCTGCACAGATGCAATACTTGCTGCCAGCTAAACGATTTAGAAGTGGGAATTAGAATAAATGGTGTTAACGTGATTAATCTTCGTCACGCAGCGAATACGAGTATGAGCGACTTGTAGAAACTAATTGCAAGACTTAACTAACCAACTGCAAGACTACAACGCACGATCACTGTTGCCAGATCTACCGCTAAAGCGGTATTTCTACCGTTTTCATATTACAAATACCGCCCTACCGTTTTAACAACCAAATCTACCTTTTTTTTATATTTTTGTCATACAGTTTAATGTTTATTTTATTTTTATTCACTTTAGTAAATTGTATTATATTTTTGATGAGTAAATTTATTTGAAAACAAATAAAGGAAGTTTTTTCAAATACTGCCCTCTGTTAGTATTTAAAAGTATCTTTACATTCGGTAGTTCACTTGCTGGTGCGTATTCTGTAAAGTCGGTAATTCTAGTTGGCGCTACGAGCGCTACATTTTTAATTAATGAAAATGGGTACTTTACCGAAGTGGCGACTTTACCGTTTTGTAAAAATCCTCACTGTCGCTAGTTCAATTAAATTCTAAAATGGGTACTTTACCCAACTGGCGAGGTATAAAAGAAAATCGAAGAGAATTATGAGTCATTTATATTTAACCCACGATCAGAAGAAAATCACAAAGCGTTTAGTGTTTTTAAGTGTTCTTTGATTTGAATCCGATTTAACAAGTGGTAAGTGAATTGAAGTACACTATAAAAACGAAAAAAAACCAAATCATTAACATTTTTGGAAATATAGTACGGTGCATAATGGCAGAAGCAGGACATTCAAGAACATTGCGTCGGTCCAGTAGTTCTGAAGAAACACGAGACAATTCTGATGGGGCTCAAACACCTGTCAAAAAATTAAAATACCATCAAACCTACAGTTGCAGATGGGAAGATGAACCAGACTTAAAGGGGTGGCTGCAGGCAAGCAAAAAGGTTTTTTTTAGGCATTAACTTGGTTTATATTTCATACCATTTTTTGTAGGGATCCTATTTTGCCTATTGCATTACTTGTGAACTGGATATCAGCATCAAAGCTGGAAAGCTACAACTTCGCCGACACGCAGAAAGAGAAAAGCACAAGCAAGCTTGTCGAGGGAAACTCAAGCAGAGATCCTTAAGAGATATGATGTCTGGCGAACTCGACACTCAAGTAAAAGATGCTGAATTAAAATTGGCGGCCGTTGTGGTTGAACATAATTTGCCCTTGGTATTAATGGATCATATCCCCGACTTGCTACGATCGGTATGTCCTGACTCAAAAATTGCTGCAGGTATCAAATCTGCGCGCACTAAAACAACAAATATAATAAAAAAATGTCATTGGCGCCTATTCATCCCAAACATTAATTCAGTTATTAAAAAATAATAAATTTAGTTTAATTATCAATGAAACAACAGACAGAACAACAATGAAATATTTATGCTTGGTTGTAAGATTAATGTTTGATAATAATATTCAAGATTGCTTTTTAACCCTTCTTCCAGTAGAAAATGCTCAAGCAGAAGTTTTATTTGAACAAATTATTTCTTTTTTTACTCAAAATAACATGGGGCTTCCAATATGATGGGGCGGCATAATTCAGTAATAAAATTTTACTGATATATGCACATACCATAAAATTTTGCACCCGTGTCAGACTCGTTGGCTATCTCTTATAAGTGTGGTTGACCGAATCCTCGAACAATATGACTGTATTTTAACTCATTTAAAAACCCAGTCTACAAATTATACTTGCAATTTTTGCAGTTTGTTTTACCATTATTTGTAAACTTAAACAGGCAGATGCAATCTGAAAGTCTTCAAATAAGCAATATATATACCTCAGTGACATTGGTAGTAAAAACAATGATGGATTATTACATAAAACCTGAAATTTTACAAAGCAACGAAGTTTTTAACGTAGATTTTCAAAATCTCAGGAATATGTTACCTTTGGAAAAAATGTATTTTGGGGTTGCAATTAATTTAACAAATCTACAAGAGACGGAGTTACATCATCTTAAAACAAATTGCCTGGCGTTTTATATTGAAGGAGTAAAACAAATATTGCAGCGTTTCCCTTTAAAAGACAATTTATAAAAGAGTTATCTTTTTTGAATCCTCAGTCTGTCCGTCAAACACAGTTTAATACTATTGCCCCTATAGCATCAAAATGGCCAAATTTAGTCGAGGAGAAAAACCTACAAATAATTGATAATGAATGGAGGCTTTTAAAAAACATAGATGTATAAAAACCGATTTATATTTGAATATAAATTATTGTTTAAAAACAAAAATATGAATTAAAAAAACAATTAACTCTATTAAACTTCAGGCTTACGATTTTTACAACTTAAATGTGGCCCACTCTGTTTTTAACAACTCAAGCCAATAGATGGCGCTGATGAACGAATTCTACCGCCATCTACCGCTATTTAAGGCAAAATTCTACCGCTGTGAGAAAAATTTATCTGGCAACACTGCGCACGATATGGATTTCAAATAAACACCTCGAATGCAACGCTAATGATCTTCTCAAAGACGCGAAGAAGAGAAATATACTTCATTGGCATTCAAGTTTATGTAGTGCTTGGATATTTCTTGTTCTACAGTAACAATATTTATTTCGAATTTTGTTTGTTGTATTTCAATATACAGGTATTTCAGGTTTTTGTAGCAGGACTTTAACAGTCGATAGATCCTTTAAAATTAACAACAAAACTTCATATAAACATAGATCGACAAACGCTTTGTTTTGGAGATACAGGGTGTTCAAATTAAATTTTTAAATTGATTTATATTTAATATTACACGTATATTTCAACCGATTCTTTTCAAATTTGGTATACGGAGGTTTCTTGGCATGAGAAAGACGATTATGGAGTCCGTTTTACTATAGTCGGTATCAACCAAGGTCCGTTGAGTATTGGTTATAAGCAGAGTCACGACGTTGTCGGGCAACTCATTGGCGGCTCGTCGCCTTACGGTAGAGACTCGGGTCCCATGGACCACATCACGCCACATATAGTATACCACGCCACTGGTTGCCAGCATTCAACCAGTATCGTTACGTTGCGGCACATCGATATGCTCGATAGAAGCATGTTACTACTACGCTATAACCCGTTTGCTGCTCTATACAGATGGTGACATCAACAGCCCGAAACATCACGGCTCTGGTTATAAGGTTATCCAACTCGAACAAGTTGACGTTGGCGGGGCGAGGTGGGAAACGTGACGTCATTGGAGGAAAAATATAACATAATATCCTTGTTTATAGATATACATAGTTATTCAACCGATGTTAGTTTGTGTTCATGATAGCCAGATGACAGGGTAATTTATGTGTTGCCATTCATAAAAATTTAAATTTTACTATACGCGCCTTAACGTATTCTACGAAAAACGTAAAATAAGTTGCATATATTTTAGTATTTCTTGCATAGAAAAAAATCGATAATGTGTCCTTCGAGAATAATACCGAATTGTTGGAGACTATTCGTCGGTAGGTACCGAATTGTAGACGCCAAATTTTTTGAAGTAGGTATATGAACAGGTTTTAAGTTTGTTTAAAAGACTATATTTTATATACCGAGTAAGGTATAAAGTAATTGAGACTACCTAATA